CATCATCATCATCATCATCATCATCATCATCATCATCATCATCATCATCATCAAGAAGAAGAATAGGAATAGCACAGTTTGTTTGTTTCACTTTTATTGTTTTTCACACACAAGTAGGGGATAGGGGCGTTAAACCGATACCATTTCACCTTTTGTTTTTCACAGAAGTAGGGTAACTCTGATCGCAAAGTCCGCACTTTTTTCGAAGAGGGCGCCACAGTAATTTGAGCACACTTTTTTAATTGGCTCAAAGAGCGGAGTGAACTATCTTGTTATGCACGATCTTTGGTCACGCGCGGGATAGTAGCTGAAAGAATGTCTTTTACAATTCTGTCTCAAGTCAACGACAACATAGCCCTGTGCAAAGTCTGGGAAATTGTCAAATAGAGAAGAAAAAGAAAAAGCACTGCCAAAAAGCTTACAAAGAGACACAGCCCAATACAAACAAGACGGAGAGACCGGTAGATAACTCTTTCCAACTTTCCTTTCATCACTTACGTACCCGGCCTAGATCTATTACCCAGGATTTCAAAATGTTAGGACGTCTTCTGATAAGACAATATTATTGATCTTTCCTGTTCACATTTTAAGAAAATTTTGAAAGTAGTTTTATTCCGGGGCACTCGTGGTCTAGAGGTTAAGGTGTTGGCCTCTCATTCAAAGGTCCCGGGTTCGAATCCGGATAGCGACGGAAAATTTTTCTTCTCTAAAATGTTCTTCTTTCACCTCCTTTCCTGGTCTCCAGTAATGTTCTGTTGTCTGTTGTCATTTCCTCTTTATGCCCGCACCCCCTCACCTCATGTGCCCCCTCCTCTGGGCTCCTGACTCATTCTGCAGCCTTTCCACTGCTACTCCTTGGCTCCTTCTTACTGCTGTCTTTCAGCTACACCCCTGATCTTCTGGTAGGAAAGATCTACACCTAGACCTCTCGGACAAGGGCAAAAAAATCGTAGGAGGTCCTGTGTGCAAGTTGCGCACGTTTAAGTTCCATTGGTGGTCTAAATTGGTAAGAGTAAGCTTCTTCCACCGCCCGGGGCAAAATTCAAAATTTCCTACCAACTGAAACACTTACCAAAACAAAAACAAAATTGTTCAATCCTTGACGAACAATAATCCTGTACTTCAGACTTGTCGGAAACATTGAAGGGCCAGCGTCACGTAGATGACGAAATACTCAACAAACATGTTCCAGACGTATTCCCCACCATTCCCCGTCCCCGTGTCACTTTTAAAAAACTGTGGTATCCCCCGCCATTCCCCGTATCACTTCCAAACATCTTACAGACGTATCCCCCACCATTCCCCGTGTCACTTCCAAAGATCTGCAGTATCCCCCACCATTCCCCGTGTCACTTCCAAACATCTTACAGACGTATCCCCCACCATTCCCCGTGTCACTTCCAAAGATCTGCAGTATCCCCCACCATTCCCCGAGTCACTTCCAAACATCTTACAGACGTATCCCCTACCGTTCCCCGCATCACTTCCAAACATTTGTGGTATCCCCCACAGTACCCAGACAGTCGGCGCCTTACCACCATGTACCCAGACAGTCGGCGCCTTACCACCATCACACCAATCCCCTCACCCTGGTAAACAATCGTTCTACCCTCTCTAACCACCCTCACACCAATCCTCTCACCCTGGTAAACAATCGCTCTGTCTCCTCCAGCTATCGTGTCATTACACCACCACATGCCCCTGATAAAAAAGATGAATAATAATAAACGTCCCATGTGGTTTCGTGAAACCTCCAACTTCCACTTTCCCATTCTCAACAAATTTGAATTAAATCTTTTAAAAGTTCCGACTATCTCGTCCGATTAGAAACTTTTTTTGGGAAAGCTTTTATCCGAAAAGAACATTTTGTGGCCATTTTTCGCAACGAGAAAAGGCTTTTAGTGCTTCGTGAAAACATGACATTTTACACAAACTGTATTTCGTTTCAAGTATTTAAACAAATTGGATCAACTTATATTGTTCAGATTCAAATTTGCAGGATGTAGGCGTCCATTGGGAAGGTATGCTGCTACCCCCCAGTTTTTAGAAATTAAAAACAACTCAACCACATATCAGCCCTTCACAATTATGATCTTTCATGTTTTCATAATGTTAACGACTTCTTGGTAAACTACAGAACAAAGGGGAACATTGTAATTGTCAAAATACAGCCACAGCTGCAACTCTCGCAGCTGACAACATGGGCAAGTAGTCTGTCCTCTAAACCAAACCCTTCAAAAACCACGTACACAACTGTGTGTCCCTCTCAGTGAAATGAGGGAAAGCCAGACTCATTCTTACACTAGTGTGGAGGGATAGGCTCCGATACAACTCAATTTTGTTTCTCTGGGTATTATCGTTGACAACAGATTCCCCTTTCTTCCCCAACTTAAGACACACAAGAGCTCTGAAAGCAGCAACACTTTGATTGAGCTCTGAAAGGTTGAGAGACACAGAAACGTTTTTCCACCTCCACCTCCACCTCCACCTTCACCTCCACCTTCACCTCCCCCTTCACCTCCACCCCCACCTTCACCTCCACCTCCACCTCCACCTCCAC